AAGAGGAGAAAAGAAAAAAAAAACTGGAACAAAAATATTCGAAGTCTGTTCTGTTTTCTATCGTAGTTTTTGTATCTTCAAAATACTCTAAGGCAGATATTCTAAAATTCACGGGAACAGGCTAGGCGGAGAGATAATATACACAGGAAAATAATATAAAAAGAGAGAAAGAAAAAGGAGAAATTTTCCTCTTAACAGATATATTTCTCATTTTTTAAATAAATAAATAAAAAGAAGAAGCAAAATTTCTCCATTCGATTTTCATATCACGCTATACTTATTCACTTTTCAAAAAAAAAAGAAAAAAAAAAAATTAAGAATAAATTGTTTCGCAGAACGATCGCAGTTCGATAATTAATTCTGGCCTGATTCCCGAGTCTTATTGACTGCATTTTCACGAGTGAAATGAAAATAATAAAAAGACATACACGCACATGCATACACACATAAAAATACGTACATGAAAGAAAAAAGAAAGAAAGAAAAAAAAAAAAAAAGAAAAAAATACGCGCGATTTTACAATACACGCTGAAGAGGCTGATTTTCGTCCTCCTAACTCTGTCCCCGTTTCGCTTTCGCTCTCGCTTCTCGAATTGTCCTCGATTCAACTCCTCCCTCGTAAATTTCAAGAAAAAGAAGAGAGAGATATTTTTTACACGATCACGACTCGACAATTTTTTTCCAATCCATCTCTCACGTGTATTCTTTTTGTTATACGCAGACGTGTATCGTCGAGAAATATTGTTCAAGAGATGAAAAAGAAAAGGGAAGAAAAAAAGAAAAAAGGGGAAAAAAGAGAAAGAAAGTTGATAAAAAATGAAATACTCGTCGATTCGCGGGGATCGTCCAACTGTTAAGTGTCTTATTGTTCAGGCAAGCGGCTGGACGAGAGTAGATCATTTTGTTTTTCGCATAGAAAACGGAAAAAAAAAAAAAAAAAAAACCAACTGAGAAATCGATTGTAAAAATCGATATGCCCCTGTGACCACGTGAAGCACATGTTCAAATTCTGTGAACTATACCACAGATTTATCGAAAGTCGATCCAACTATTGATCGAGGAACACGGTTGACAGAGAAGAGAGGGCATTTTGTAATATTTTTTAACAGAATCGTAGAAAAAATTCGAGAGGTACCAAATACATACATATTATAATATGTAAATGACGTACGAGCAGAGTGGTCGCAAGAGACGCAAGAGAAAAGGAGAGAGGGTTGATAATTAAAATAGGCTAAGTAAATATGCAACCGTATGTGTAGCTGTAAAACAAGCTAGGAAAAGAAAAAAATGACAAAAAAAAAAAGTATAAATATATAATTTAAAAAAAAAAAAACCAACGTGTCGTTGTAAACGTGAACGTTCGAAATCGTGTCGAATACGGATCTGGACGATGATCTGTCACGTGTTCAAGCGTGTAAATACATTTGATCGCGGCGATTATTTCATTTATGTCTCGATCCTGATCGTGAAACTCGATGTGTATTGAATTCGATATGCTATCTGTTGAACGACGTTTTTGAATTTCTGACAATTACAAAATGTCTAATTTCAAGATTATTCAATATCATTCGATACATCCTCGTTACAATGTTTGTAAAATTTATCACTTTCACTAGAGTAGATCATCAATTGTCATTATCACTTGAAGTTTTTTCATTATCGAAATAATTTACGAATTGGCCAAGAAAAAAGTAGAATATTTCAAGATCTGATTCATCATATCAAGAAAAAATGAATTATATATATATGCAATTCTCAATATAATTTATAAGATTTATAAATTTTTAATAATCCAGGACTTCCATGTATAAATTTATTAAAAATTCATTGATCATCTACGATTAGATAATTCTACTGAATCGAATGTGAAAACAATGTGCTGTTATAATATTTTTAATTGTCAAGATTTAAAAATTTTTAAAGATCCAAATTTTACAATTTTCTAGAGAAAAGGAGGGTAACGAGATCGACGAGTCGAAATTTATTGCTCATTATCCATGATCGTCCATGTAATTGTCACATTGAACAGTGATCTGGAATAACGTAGCGCCACGTGGTTCCTCGTTTGCCAAATAAATGTAATATTACGTGTCGCTATAAATGAATAATGTATACCGTATATATTTAGCATAAATCCTCGGGAAGCTGTGCGATACTGCTTAAATCCGTGGTTTATCACTGATAGTCATAAGCATACTATATATAACTACATGATGCGCAATTAATCGCTGGTCGATACACGTGAATTATTATATATTACGAGATTATTATACATATACATATACGAGACTTGCAGTGAATCGCTGGTCGATACAATCGAAATCGCTGCATGTCCCGCCAACATTATATAATGTTAAAGATAAACAAATTCAACACTCTGTGATTCACAGCTCGTTGTGCGTGGAATTACGTGATTCACAGATCATTGTTGATGGAAAGAAGAATATGTTCCACAGATAGCGTGTTAATTACAAATATATGACGCGTTTCTTCGCGATCGTCTGCAGTCCAGATTTTCAATCTGTGAATCGTGACCCTGAGAAGAGAAGGCAAGAATTTTTCAATTCAAATTTGTTCGATGAAAAAATAATGTATTTTTTAAAAAGATATAAAAGTATATGTCTTGTCTAATGTATAGAGAAGAAAATTTTTTAAAAAATTAGAACGTTTAATCATTTTGATCTTTATGAAAATAATATTATTCCTTAAAAAGATGCTAAATTTTTCAGAAAAGCGAATTATAAATCTGATCCAATAAACTGTAACGATAATTGTTTCTTTTTTTTAATTTGAGAAAAAGAATTGCGAATCATTTTCTATTATTATAAATAAATAAAGGGTTACGACTCGAAAAAAAGTAAAGAAACTGGCTCAAAAGTGACAAGATCAACGTCTAAATTTTTAAACGTCGCTATGCTCTCACGTTGTCGTTCATCTTCGTAAGTGCGAAAAATAACAGAATTTCCACGATACACCATGTCCACGATGAAACGAATATAAAAAATTTCCCTAAAGGAATTTTTGTATTGTGAGTATAGAAGAGTAAATTTATTAAAAAAAAAAAAAAGAATCGTGGACAAAGTGTAACTCGTGTAATTCTGTTAACTCAGTGTGTAAGTGTAGATGTTTTAGTGTGTGATCGAAGTGTAATCGTCGATTGATCGCAGTATCGTATATTATATCAATTGCTCCTGGTTCTTCGAGAAACACCGGGGAGTTCATTTGTCACAATGTGACGAAAAACATGGAGGCATAATTTAAATACAAGACTCATAAATGACGTGACTTAATTTTTCCTCTTATTTAATTAAATAAAAACTATTTAATTTTAATTTAATTCACAAAATTTATAAGTTTATTTTGTATCGATATTAAATCTTTCAATCAAAACGAAATGTGTCCATATAATTTATTATTCAAGATGAATATTTTAATTTTCTAAGCAAAGATCTTTTAAAAACTATCAGCCAGTGGTAAAAAGTAAAAAACTTATGCCTCCATACGTTTAATATATTCTCTGCGATATGCGTGCACTGATGTACAAAAAGCGAATTTTTTTTCCATGCTCGATACAACAGTCCTAGTTGTTCGATGCGCACCGCGGGATAGAAACAAATGTCTTAAAAGAGGATCAAAATCTATCCAAAGGATTAGAAAAATCTGAAAGATAAAAGAAAGATGGGAAACGATACCTCGTAGAAAAATGGTTCGAATTTCGATGAGAAGAAGAAAAGAGAAAAAAAGATATTTTCATCGAAAGCGATTCTGTCCAGCCATTGCCGACTACTGTTCAACTGTAGATGTATTCATAAATCATAAAAGAAGATAAAAGATGAAAGATGAATGAAACAGATATATGGGGAAGAAGAGAGAGAATTAGACAATTAAACAAAAGAGAATAGACAGAGTGTATGAATGAAACTATATATATATATATATATTCGTATATAAATATATAATATATATATATATGAGGTACACACACGCGCACACTTCAACACGTACACACACATGCACAACTAATGCAACACAGGAAGACGAGAATTATTGTGACGAAGATACCACGATCCTGATTGCGGCGAGTATCGAATACGTCGCGTTTTGAATTCCAATTCTTAAGTTTGGAATTCGATCACGAAACGCGTGAAGGACGTGCAAAAGGGTTGTGTTTATAACGATACAACGCTTATCGAGTATCCTTATGCGAGAAATATCGTAATTGGAGGCTGCATACCGCAGCACGGTGGTATTTTTAACCCTTTTGTACTTGGAGAAAGCATCTCGCTCGGGAATTATCGAAGTATCGAAATCCTAGATTTCGATGATGCAAGACTGTTCTTAAATATTATACATATCAATTTTATGATATTTTGCGGAACGAAAAGAGATCATTAAAGATATTTAAAGATTTTTGAAGATAAATTAGTTGGTCAATTTTATCATCTTTGCTATTTTTTTAAAAGAAATGACGACATTTTTTAAAGACTCACCAGCGAATTTTTACATTTAATTGAGAACGATACATTTTAACAACTTTACTATTTTCTAAAAATGGAAAAAGATTTTAAAGACTGGATTTTATCAATATTTCACTATTTTTCAGAGAAGTGAAAAATTTTAGAGATTTTTTTAAAGATATAATTTGATTGAAATTTGATTAAAAATAATATATATCTATTATTTATGATAATTTAAATAAAATATTAAGTAAAAGAAAAAAACATATTTAAAATATCATTAGATAATTAAATTTTGGATTACAGAGTAGAGTTATCATTTTATTATTCGACTAGTTAATCAATATTTTATATATGTTTTCTTTTTTTTTTTTTTTAATACATACATTTCTTCAATGTATAAGCAAAGATTTTCGATAATTATTATAAATTTTAAAAAGTACAAAAGGATTAAATACACCCCGTCATTTAACAATATTCTCATTGTCATCGTTTTCACTGTAACGCTATTCACTGTTAAAAAGAAACTCGCTGTTCACTTTTGCCGACAACTTTCGTCGACTTCGGATCTTCATTGTCATTGTTGTTGTTGTTATTGTTGTTATAAATCTATCCGCCAATTTCTACATCTATATATGATATCACTGGTCCGGAGTATGCACGCTGAATCGAATGAAGATTAACCGAGTGCTCGAGTACACGCAGAAATTTCTAAAAAAGCTAGAAAATATTTATTTTTAAATTTAATACAATCATTTATTATCTCATTATTATTATTATTATTATTATTATTGTCATAAATATATAATTAATCTAATAATTTCAAAATTTCTACTTCGAAATATCAAATATAAAATAAAAGTTATTAAATAAAAAAATTAATTTAATTTAACCAAGGAACATTTAAAAAAATAAACTCACCCATTCAAATTTCTCAATTCTTTATTTAATTATTCCAAATACATTACATAAGTTTCGCGTATCGTTCAAATTTTTTTCTTTTCTTTCTTTTTCTTTTTCTTTTTTTTTTTTTTTTTTTTTTTTGTTAATACTCACAATTTTACAGGTCCAGTAAAAATAGCGTTCTCGGGGTATCCGAGTCCTCGCCTAATGTTCATCAAGTGTTTCTCAAGTACCCGGATACTCTCGTTGTGTCTGCGGAACACGAATACAATCAACAGACACTGATAATGATTCGGTATGCATGTGTTTTATGTATGCGTGTAATATATTACATATATAAATTATATACATGTATATGTGTGTGTTTTATGAGTGTGAAAGAAAAGAAACAAGAGGTTAAAAAGAAAAAAAGAACAAGTTTCATATAATGCGTTTTATGATCGGTATTATGCGTTTTATCGTTCAGATAAGATATTAAATATACCTATAGGAAACCGAGAGGTTGGTATTTCAATACGATCATCGTAAGAGATTCTCTGATCGCTTCGACAATTCGATATTATATTCGTCTATCACAATCGCCGTGAACGTTTTTCGTTTGTTCGCTATCTCCAACTATGACACAGTGCTTCGTGTTATGTCAGCAATATCATTCGGATTCCTGTCTTCCTGCATTTTTCTTGAAACACGTCGTATATCGCTGAACTCATGATTTATTTACGGTTATTTCATATACACTCGTGCAGAAAAATCAGATGTGCGGTGATTTTCTTTTTTTTTTTTTTTCTTCTCTCTCGGAAAATACATACGAACGATGAGGATCCGAATAATATTTGCGATCCTAAGTTTGTAATATTTCTCTGGTCGTATGCGTGGTAAATACGTGTATATCGTACACACGACAGATACACATCTGTCACATCGTCTTTCCCCATTGCTGACGCGCGAAGAATCTACTAGGAAACTTTTTTTGTAAAAATTAGCGAACATTCGGGACTCGCCGTGTGTCACGTTGACGTGGTGGAACGAATACAAAGACAGATGAAATTATGAAAC